TTTTTTTACTTAGTGCATATTTTTATCAGATACAACTGTAGCTACTCCTGTCCACTTTTGGTTCCTGTGTGGATTATCTTTTTCTATCCCTTCGAGGTGAAGTGAGTGTATAGTTGGGTGTAGGCAGTACATAGTTAGGTCATTTAAAAAAACCCATTCAGCCAGTGTATATCTTTTGATTGGGGATTTAATCTGTTTAAATTCAAAGTTATTATTGACAGATGAAGACCTTATTCCTGTTATCTTGTTGTTTTCTAATTGGTTTGTATAGCCCCTGTTCTTTTCTTTCTCTCTTATCATTTATCTTCGAAGTTTGGTGGTTTTCTGTGGTTTATAAGATTTGATTTATTTCTCTTTTTCCTTTGTATATCTGGTGTATCAGTGAGTTTTATGCTTTCATGTTCTTTCATGTGTTTTCATGATGGTAGTTATTGTTCTTTTGCTTCCAGATGTAGATCTCTCTCAAGCATTTACTTTATAAATTCCTTTATAAATTCCCTCAGTTTTTGCTTGTCTGGGAAAGGCTTTGTGGACTTCATTTTTCAAGGATAGCTTTCCTGGGTATAGTATTCTTAGCTGGCATTTTTTTTTTCTTAATGCACTTTAACTATATCACCTCATTCTTTTTGTCCTGTAAGGTTTCTGCTGATAAATATGCTATTAGTCTAATGGAAATTCCCTTATATGTAATTTGACATTTTTCTCTTGCTGTTTTTAGAATTCTCTTTGTCTTTGACTTTTGACAATTTGACTATATGTGCCTTGCAGAAGACCTTTTAGGGTTGAATCCATTTGGGAATCTCAGTTCCTTGGATCTGGTTGTCTGTATCCCTCCCAAGACCTTGGAAGTTTTCAGCTGTTAATTCATGAAATAGATTTTCTATGTATTTTTGCATCTCTTCTTGCCATAGTTTGGATATTTGCCTCCCCCAAATTTCATGTTTTATGATGCCCACAAGTCCTGTAGTCTTTCCTCATTCTGTTTTATTATTTTCTTTTTGTTGTTGTCTGCCTGGGTTATATCAAAAGACCTGTCTTCAAGTTCAGAAATTCTTCTGCTTGCTCTGGTCTTTTGTTGAAGGTCTCCGTTGTATTTTTTAATTTCATTCATTGAATTCTTAAGCTTCAAGATTTCTGTTTGTTTCTTTTATTCTATCTATCTCTTTGTTAAATTTCTTATTTGGATCATGAAATATTTTCCTGATTTTGTTGAATTGTCTATATGTATCTTGCATCTGATTGTAGAAGATTGGTCAGGGTGGTGGGAGAAGATATAGGGAAAGATGCAAGCCTTCTTGAAAGGTCGGAAGGTCTTGCAAAAGCTTCAGGAGAGAATAAAGCTGAGGGTAGCTAATTCTCTTACTGGAAGGGTAAGGGTGAGGAGTAGGTAACAAGGGAGTGCAAATAAATCTATCTAGATAAGTTTACTTATGTGATCCAGAGACCGACTTTTGATCAACCAGGTGCAAGACTGCTCCCTGCAAGGGGGTATGACAATGTTAATTACCCACAAATTGGGTTGTCTCTAGGCCTTTGACATTATGCCAGTACTGAATAAGTATAAGCAGCTCCGGCTTATCGGGACTGCTCACTCTGCAGCAGTCCTCTAGCGGCTCTCATGCAAAATACCTGTGTCTGGGTGCTCCTTTCATCCGTCACTCTGCAGTCTTTGGGACAGACTTGCTTGGCATCTCACCAAGTTTTCTTAAACTCATTATTTTGATATATATATTTTTTCAGTATCTTGTAAATACGTTTTTCGGAGGGGGGCTGGTTTTGGAGAATTATTATGTTCCTTTGGAGGTGTCATGTTTCCTTGCATTTTCATTTTCTTGTGTTTCTATGTTGATACCTGTGTGTCTGGCAAAACAATTGCCTCTTCCAATTTTGTGGAGTACCTTTAGTAGGGAGAGTCATTCCTATAGGTGAGACATATGGTGTCAGTGGGTAAGTTGAGTTGGCATTGGTTCTGGGTGGACACAGTAGTATAATCTGTTAATCTGTTAAGATTCTTTGGCTATAATCCATGTTAATGATCTTTGTGAGCACCTCAGTGGCCTAGGCTATGAGAATCTCTGGTGGCAGTGGTGCATCTTTGCTGGGGATGGGACCGTTGAGCTTTTTCTCTGGCCAGAGGCATGAGTGTGTGTGGGTTGGTGGTCTGGTGAATGGCTTGCTGGGGGTGAATTTTCCATGCAGTTTCTCGGGCCATGAGTGCAGGGACACAGATGCTTGGCAGACCTGGGGGTGGGTCCACCAGGAGTGTTTCTGCTGGAGTTCACCTTGTTGCTTCTCCAGCTGGGACATGGGTGTGCAGTGGTTCAGTGGCTTGGCTTAGGGGCAGGTTTGTCAGCCTGTTTCTTTGGTGGGGAGTGCCAAGAAGTGGGACTTTCTGGGGGAAGGTCCATTGGACTATTTATTTCAGCCAGCCAAAGTTTGGCTTCCCCGCTGTGTAGTGCTGAAGTCACAGCTGTTCCTGGTCCCATGCTCCAAGCAGACAGGGTTGTGATATTGCAGTCACCTGTGTGGACTTGGTAAGATAACAGCAGAGACTCAAGGCTGGAGACATGCAGTGGCTACTGGGCCCCAGAGCAGGGCGGATTCTAGCAGTGGTTCCAATTTCAAGATGGCACAGTGCTGCAGTAGCTTGGATCACAGGTTGATCGGGGTGGGGAGTGTTTACACCTTGTATTCCTACTCTGGAGTAATGCAGCTATGTTAATTCCAAGCAGCTCCCCAAACTGGGCTAAAAGCTTTTGAAGATGGTGGGATTCTCCTATACTACAGGAATCTGCAGTGGCAGTTTGGGCAGATAGGGGCCTTTTACTTACCTTTTCCCCATAAGGGGAAGTCCTTCCTGGATCTGAGCCAATCTCAATGGGAGAGATGAGGTGACAGGGCCAGGGTGCCTTGCTCCCCTCTCTTTGCTGCCATCCTGGGCTTCTGTGCTCTACAAGGCTTTCACCAGTCCCTTTCTACACTCCAATGCTGTCCCTCAGACACTACAGTTGGATTTTAGTTGTTTATTTGTTGTTTCGGTTGTTTTTTATTAGGAGGGAGATATAAGTGCCAGGCAATTGTAGTCAGTCATCTTGTTAATATCCTTTATTTCTCTAGTTTTTTTTTTTTTT